AAAAAATAAAAACTGCGTTTAAAAAACCGACTTCAAACCAAAAACTAATAACAAACAAAAAATCAAAACTAAAAAGCAAAAAATAACTATTATTAGTACTGATAGGTTACTACCCACCCACTGATAGGTAAGAAGTCGGCGTATGCGCGATAATGAGGCGTTGGGGGCTGATAAAAAGCCTGTCATTTATTTAGATGAGACGTGGTTACATGCTCATTACAGAGCAAAAAGTGTTGGGAATTGATTCCAGCACCAAAAATAAACAAAGGATACATGACACTGCTAAAAATTGGATAGCTGCTCATGCTGGAAGTGAAAATGGTTTTGAAGATGGAGCTCTTCTAATGTTTACATCTGTTAAAAAAACTGATGATTATGATAAAACAAATATTGATAGGTACATTTAATACGTGGATAAGTGTAACTTTGATACCTAAGCTCCCTGAAGTTTCAATTATAGTTATGAACAATTATTCTTCCTACCACAAGGTAAACAGATTAAAGTACCCAAACATTGATGCAAAAAAAAAACAAAAATGCAGTCATGGTTGAAAGATCAAAATATTGCATATGAGGACCATTTTACAAAAGCGGAACTTTCCAAATACTTATGTTACAGATAGCATTTTTAATTAATAATAATTAAAAATGCTTCAAAACCATAAGGTTTTGAAGTATTGAGGCTTCCACTTTACCATTATGATATTTAAATCCAATGATTAGTATTTGGAACCTAATTAAGCATAAGTTGACAGCCGCAGATGTCCCGAGGCTTTTTTTTTTTTTTTTTAAGGGGGTAAAATCATCGAATGACTGCTCCCGCCTGGGTGAGGCGGAAGGGAGTGTCAGACTCTTACTGACTAAAAACCACCCCGTTCCTTCTCCTGCACGTCGAGCCGGAGCCCCGGTTACCCGTTAGGTTCTCCGCGACTCCGAATCGGCATCGGCCCTATTGGGCCCCATCTGTGGTGGTCTGATGGCTCTTTGAGGCGCGCGCGGAACGCGACGCGCCGTACGCTCGGGTCTGTTTCTGGTCGGACGGGGAGCCACCCATGCTCGCCGTCCGCAGGCCCGCGCTTACGGTGGCCGGAGATCGTCCCGCGATCCCCGACGCCCGGTGTGTCCTTCGCGATGGCTGGGTTGCGAGGAGGCAGCGCTTCGCTGCCTCACGCGTCCCGCCTCCTCCTTAGCTAGCATGACTGCTTCGCAAAAGGAGGAGACGGCATCCCAATCCCCCTCGCTCCGCATCATGGCCTGCACTAGGCCCGGACGCGAGAGGTCGCCATCGCCGATCACTTCCCTGAGGACACGGCGGTGCTCAGCCCACGAAGGGCATTCTCCCACCGTGTGTTCCACCGTGTCCTCAGGGCGGTCCTCGCAGTGATGACACCCGGGCGTTTCCTCCCGCCCCATCAGACACAGGTACCTCCCGAAACTTCCATGTCCGGTGAGGACCTGCGTCAGGCGGTAGGTGAGGACGCCGTAGCGACTAAAAAGCCACTCCTCAAAGAGGGGACTTACCGCTGCGATGGCAGCGAGCCCAGCCCTCGGTTGCGACAGTCGTTGCTGCCATTCCGCCATGAATGTCCCGAGGCTAGAAAACTATTCTGCGCACCTTCTACTAGAAGCAATTACTTCAGTTACTAAAAATGATTGGGATACAGAAATAAGTCGCGTGAAACAAAGAGAGAAACAATACTGGGAAAGGGAGAAGATTGAAGATGATGATAACTTAGATTTTGACGTAAATATGGGTACCTACCTAATTGTATTTTTTTATAACTATCTGTTATATACCTATTATACTTTGGCACACTATTGTTTGGCCTAATTTTATGTTCGTAAAAGTAGTACTTACTAGCTTTCTGCGAGCGACTTCATGCGCACAAATAGGGAATTCCTGTTTTTACTGATCCCGTGGGAATTAAAGGAAATCCTCCCCTTAGCGCTCCCCTACACCCTTCAACATTTGTATACATACCTATACCAAACAGCGACGACCTGTAATTTCGGCTGTGTGTTGTATAAGTCAGTCAGTCACTCAGTAACTGAAGTGTTTAATTAACCGACTTCATAAAAGAAGGAGGTTCTCCGTTTCACCTATATGTATGTAGGTATGTACATACAAACACAAACAAACAAACATTTGTTTGGGCGCGAATATCTCGCGATTGTTTGAACCAATTTGATGTGCTTTTCAGAAAAGTGTTTGTCACATTTAGGAGTAGGTTTTCGTATATTATTCACCGACTTAAAAATGGGGGTTGAAGTTGGCTTTTTAAACTTATAATAGATAATATTATTACGCACTACAAGTTTACACATAATTTATTCTAGTCATTCCCATTCCGCTGTCCTAGACGTTATCTTTTCCAATTCATTATTTCGTACGCTTACAATATTATTTTGTCAATCAGGTAACCTACATCATGTTTGCAAACAAAGTGGTACTGATCACCGGCGCCAGCTCGGGAATCGGAGCTGAAACTGCTCTAGACTTCTCAAAACTTGATGCTAAATTGGTAATTACCGGAAGAAATAAACAAAATTTAGAGAATGTTGCTAAACAATGCGAAGAAAATTCACCAAGCTGTTTAAAACCACTGATCGTAATCGCCGATATGAATAATGAAAGTGACGTAGAGAACATTATTAAAACTACTATCAACGAATTCAAGCAACTCGATGTCTTGGTGAACAATGCTGGTGTTCTTGAATCTGGTTCCATAGAAAACACTTCACTAAATCAGTACGATCGAGTGATGAATACTAACGTCCGAGGACCATACCATCTTACAATGTTAGCTACTCCTCACCTGGTGAAAACAAAGGGAAACATAGTTAACGTATCCAGTGTCACTGGCTTACGATCTTTTCCAAACGTTCTTGCATACTGCATGTCTAAATCTGCTCTGGACCAATTCACGAGGTGTGTGGCTTTAGAACTGGCACCAAAGGGTGTTCGTGTTAACGCTGTGAATCCTGGTGTGATAACTACAGGTCTTCATATGAAGTCTAGTATGAATGAACAGGAATACGAAGAATTTATTAAGAAGTGTGCGCAAAGCCATGCCTTGGGTAGAGCCGGTAATGCAAAGGAAGTTTCATCGGTGATTGTCTTTCTAGCAAGTGATGCTGCTAGTAACATGACTGGTGTCACTATACCTGTTGATGGGGGACGCCATGCTATGTGCCCACGATAGAACTTCTAAAGAATACAAATATTATATTTTTTATAAATTGTTGAGAGTATATATTAAAATTAAATATAATTATTATAGATCGTTGTTTAATTATTTCACATTTCAGAACCTCAAAATCAAATCATCGACACAACGTGTGATAGATTAGATATCTATTCACTTAATATTCTATTTTATTTTGTTCTTTTAAGGATAATTAATACCTACGGTAAATTAAAGTATTGTGCATGCACAATACTGTAATTGACTTCTTGAAATTAATGTTATTTCATTGTTTTGTTGATCGGTACCTACTGCTATTGCTGATTTCAATCACCACTTGAGTCTGGAATTGTGTCCGAATAAAATCCCTTTTATTATTGAACTACTTACTCCCGCTTGGTTTCACCTGCTACTCGGCTCCTATAGGTTGTAGTGGACGTTTTATATCCTACAACCTTCCTCTATTAATGAGCTAACACTGCAAAATAATGTTCAATTCGAAACAATAGTTAGCGTTACAACAAACTTTGCAGCTATACCTCTATAAATAATAATTACCTTTATTGGAAGGTATTGATAAAATAGGTATACCTTTTTACCTATCGCGAAATCCTCATGGACGTCTCACGTCGTGTGGACGACGGGGCGTGCGACTCTTACCGTCTAAAACCACTCCGGTATTCCTCCAATGCCTGTGACCGTGACACGGGATGCCCTTACAGAATCACCAAATAGGTATACCTATTTAATTACAAAAACTAAACTTGTTTCTTTTTGTTTAAATCAGGTAACCAGAATGTTCGCCAATAAAGTAGTTCTAATCACGGGAGCTAGTTCAGGCATTGGAGCAGACACTGCTGTAGAATTTTCTAAGCTAGATGCAAAACTAGTTTTGACAGGAAGAAATAAAGAAAACCTTGAGAAGACCGCACAAAAATGCGAAGATGTATCTCCACGCAAGCTCAGGCCAGTATCTGTTATTGCAGACATCGTCAATGAGACCGACGTTGAAAAGTTATTGGAAGAAACGATAAATCATTTCGGGCAACTTGATGTCCTGGTTAATAACGCCGGTATTTTGGGACTGGGGTCTATAGAGGTTACTTCTCTTGATCAATATGACAGAATTATGAATACAAACGTACGAGGGCCGTATTATTTAACTATGTTGGCCACACCACATCTTATTAAATCTAAAGGGAACATAGTAAATGTATCCAGCGTGGCTGGTATCAGATCATTCGCCAACTTTCTTGCGTATTGCATCTCTAAAGCTGCACTAGATCAGTTTACAAGATGTGTGAGTCTAGAGCTTGCTAGTAAAGGAGTTCGGGTTAATGCAGTCAATCCGGGTGTGATTGAAACTGGCATACACTTAAGAGGTGGAGTCAGTGAAGAAGATTATGCAGTGTATTTGGAAAAATGTAAAGAAACGCATGCAATAGGAAGGACAGGAACTACTAAGGAGGTTGCGGATGCGATTATATTCTTGGCAAGTGAAGGTGCTAGTAATATTACCGGCGTAACGATGCCAGTAGATGGCGGCCGCCATGCGATGTGTCCTCGATAAATTAATGGACGAGTAAACGTTCATTGAATAATATCAAACATTTTAAAATACAAAACCACGGGTAGGTAGGCAGCACTATCAAAAAAACAATTATTTTGATTAATAGTGTTAAGTATGCATACATAATATATTGATTTGGTGAATAAAGGTTTTATTTTGTGGCTAGTTCCAAAATGTTTACTTAATTTTATATAGTAATGTACCTACCTATCTAGGTACAGGCGATGTGCCAGAAAAAACCAGTATTATTTCTGTACTTCGATATTTATTGTCTTAAAATAAATTTACAGTGCAGGCGGTGTTTGAACTATGGGTTTGCCAGTGAGTGCATTAAAGATTCCAGTTGCTGAGCAGCTACCAATCTCGACGATGATCTTACCAGTTTGGATTCCGGTCTGAATCAAACGCATTCCAGCGCATACATCAAGGGCGGCTGGTAACGAGCTAATTCCAATGTTGATGCGTCCAACCTGAAAAATAAAACGTAATTTTTTGTTTAACAGTAGTATGTAAGTCAGTCGATCGTGGGAAATCCTATAGTATCTACTTCACTGTACACATCCCATATTCCGTTTCATGATACTCACCGTCATTGCAGATTGGCCGAGAAAGCCAACAGATTTTAACTCGATCTTCACAGCGACTTTGGCAAGGCAAGCTCCAACAGTCAGCAAGTTTGTGTTATTTGTAGTGCATTCCTTCATGTCGTCCATTGCCAGATTGCCAGCAGCTACTGCCTCTTTGGCTATTGTCATCAAGTAATTGATTTCCTTAGAGACATCGCCAATTCTTTCATCGACGCAAACCAATGTACTGGCGAGTGTTTCGTTGAAAACTGATGCAGCAGCGCTTCTATGAGACTGGAATTTGAGATAGTTTTGTAATATACATACCTTATATGTATAGGTGGGCAGGCAAGTTAGGCAACTAGGTCCTATACCTACTGTATGTAACAAAGTTGTTACAAAGACAAAACTATTCTTTTGAGTTTGGTTGAGGTATTGTATATGTACCTACTGATGATATATCAGTCATATCATGTTATATTTTAATTGACTGCACGGTTGGTGCAGTGGCTGGCCAACCGGCTGCCGTGCAACGTGTCGTGGGTTCGATTCAACTTGTTGTTTCGGGTCTGGGTGTTATTGTGTATGTGGACTTGTATGTTTGTAAACGCAACCACGACACAGGAGAAAATCCCAGAGTGGGCCAACGTTTAAAAAAAGGGTAGCAATAAAACGAGTGACTGTAAATTACAATTATATTACCGATTAACGAAATCGATTCTATCTTAATATTGAAGTTGCCTTCTCTGTATTTCCATTTCCAGTCGCTCACTTAGTAATGTAGTCGCTCGGATCAAATTTTACTACTATAATAATATGAAATGGATTTATCACTATCCACTTTTTGTAAGCTCGTTCTGGATTTTATTATTAATCAATACCTATTCGTCGTTAGTTTAGTTTATTTTTCGCTTACTCAAATTCATACCGCTCAAGTTATTAATACAGTATGACATCATCAGTCGCAAAGCTTTTTTTATCGCTCGTTTTATAATTCCTAAAAAAATATCTTAACTATATTATCGTTATGTAGGTATTGCCAATGTCACGCAAGAAATACCATTACACTGCTGTATAAATAAAGCACAAGGCGAGTGATATTATGGTAGAATGAATGTCTATATTCATGACTGGGTATTTTGGTATTATTATTTAGGTGTTTTCGCTAATGTTCTCGTGTTCTATGTATATAGGCGCTTACCTACTTAACTCGTCGAGTACCGGTTTTGTAGACACAATTATAGAACAATAGGTTGCGGTCACCGGTGACCGTTTGGTGTTTGACAGTTTAAAATAGTATATAAACTACCTAGTATATAGGTACTTACATCCACACATTCCTTGACGGCTACATTGGTGTTAGAAATCCTTTTCATCACATTTTCCACAGCTTCAGTCACCCGGTTTCTGAATTTCTGCACGTCAGCTATGATTTTGTCTCTTATAGCCAGGACTTCGTTCTTGATGCCCGCATTAAACGTAGCAACTGAGTCTATAGCTTCTTGTCCGGACTTGCGGAGATTATCCACAAGTTCTTCAATAAGTTTGCTGGAATATAACAAAAAGAAAAAAAATATTTTATTGAGCTAATAGGAGTTACTTAGGTAAGTGTCCAAGTATTTTTGAGAAAATTAAAGCTTAGTTTAGTTGTATTGATTTTCTTATTTGAAGATTTGGTATTATGTAGGTTGGAAGGTACCTAACTCAGGCTTCGTATAGTCCTGAGTACAAAAAGAAAATAAAAAAACTCGACATGAAAACCTAAGTTTGCTTTTCTTATTTTTGATGGGCCTAAAAAAAGTTAATAACTAAAAATAACTTACCTAGCCTAAAAATATGTTCGCTTTGAGAGCGCTTCAAACCTAAATGCTAGGTACCATACAGACAATACAATGCACTATGCAGGAATGATGAACCGACATTTTTTTTATAATTTTTTACTATTTACAGTCTGTTACGTGCACGTTGTGCATCCCGAAGTAAAAGAATAAGTATTTTCTTTTTTTTTAAGGGGGGAAAGTCATCGAATGACTGCTCCCGCCTGGGTGAGGCGGGAGGGAGTGTCAGACTCTTACTGACTAAAAACCACCCCGTTCCTTCTCCTGCACGTCGAGCCGGAGCCCCGGTTACCCGTTAGGTTCTCCGCGACAAAAAAAAAAGGTTCCTACCTATCTACGGATCTGATGAGTGAGACTAATGTCGGAATACTGAAACGCTACTCAATTTTAAGTCGTGCTTAAGTATAGTTCTATCTCTACAAATTCTTTGTAAAATGACAGAGATGGCACGATATTTAAGTACTACTTAAAATTGAGTAACGTTTCAGTATTCCGACATAAGAAAATTGAAAATCTTGATAGTTCAAACAAGGCATAGCGAAGTACCTACCTTTAATGCCCGAAAAATGTAGTAGGTTTTTAAGTAGGTAATTATGTAACTACTATCTAAAATGTTCTGGTTACCTTGTATCAGCCACCAGGTTGACATCCCGTTTTAGTTGCTCAATACCTTCAACTTCTGGTGCAGCAAGTGCCGAACACACCTGTAAGAGGTAACATAGGTATTATTCATAACACAAAAGGGTCACAATGGGGTTTATTTTTACTTTTTTTTTGAGGGAGAAATATCTTCCACTTCTCCCGCCCGGGTGAGGCGAGAAGGAGTGTCAGAGTCTTACCTACTGACTATAAACCATCCCATTCCTCCTCCTGCACTGCACTTCGACCCGGAGCCCCGGCAATTCAGAATGGGGTAGTTAGCGAGATATACCTTCTTACCGATTTTGGTCAGCTTGATCAGCATAGGTAAGATGATGCTCTTTCTGATATGTATGCTACAGAAGTATTTATTCTGGCTACCTATTTTCTTCCTTAGCAGCTACTGTGGAATGTAGGTCCACAGAAATATTAAAAGCTTCTTTTATCTACATTGGTCTAACGGTCTTTAGTGCGTCTACTCTTTAAATCGCACTAAAAAAATGTAAGTAGGTAGATATCTAATCATAAAAATTTTGGATCAAATAAAAATGAAGTAGATAGGTAGGTATCTAGATGTGATGAGCCTACATAACGACATCTGAGTAAAACACAATGGGAAAAGGAGATAAAATAATTAAGTATCTTACCACAGCAAAAACGCACAACAAAGTCAACGATTTCATGGTGAATTTGACAAAATGCTTCGAGAACACCAAATGATCTGATGCTGTACGATAACATCCCTATGGTTTTTATACTACTTCTAGTAAAACATTGCGAGTTATTTTGCCATAGAACAAATAGCACAATCTTATCTATATGTGCACCAATTTTAATATTTAAATAGCTTAAAATTTTATTGTTACTCAATTTAGACGCTATTTGCTTGTTTGTAATCGATTGCAACAGTTTTGGTGGTCGTAGGATTATATTTAGAGATAAACAGTATGAGTAGATATGAATGCTGTGAAATTACCGCACCACCAACTTGTGGAAGCTGTATGGATGAATTTATATTTGTTGTATTTTTGATGATCCAACGTTTGACCACTATCTCGCCTGGTGGTAAGCTATGATGTGGTCTACGGTGGATCATGATGCAAGGGCTTACTAAGTCTGGCTACGGAGTCTAAAAGAATTTCAGTGTGTATGACCAAATAAGATATAGTTAGATAGATACCTTCAGTTCTTAAATATCTCAGTTAATGATTTCAGTTTGTATGAATTTGATAGAATCTAAATCAAAAATAATTCATCAGAAGATCGCTCGGTGACGCTCTGTTAACTGTAGTTTCTGTCTATCCCCATAGAAACGACAGCGACAGCGTTTACTTAATACATATTTCATGTAGGTACTTTGTACATAAAACACCTACCTTTTTACCTCCATTTTACTCGGGAATTCAGTCAGTCTCTATTCTTATACACTTCTTGGGCTAAACTTTGAGAGATATATGTTTTTAAGAATATTGTCTTGCAGGTTATTTTAGTTTCGTAACAACAGTGCGATATCTCAAATTGATGAAATAATTAAGTACCTACCTACTTGATGAAGTCTCAAGGTTTGTCAAATAAAACATTTTTATCGCGTATCGCAAATGATATTGCTGTAGGTATAGTAGAATTATGTAGAAATATTTACTTTTATGCCTACCATTTGAATGTCAACAAACCGAAGAACTGTATGTAGTTCAGTGCCCTACATTTACCTACTTATTGAAAATTCTAGAATTACGAGTGGGTATGTGGTAGCTACCTAGGTTATATTGGGGTAATTTTGTAGGTAGGTACTGGTAAGTAGGTATTCACACATCACTAAATCCAATAAATAGTACCAGGCAAAAAATTAATGCGTCATGGAATTCCGTGACCTAATTTATATTAGTGAAATTGTATTTGTAAAAGGTTTTTCAATATCGTGGACATTTATTACAGTCACGATGTCCAGATATCGTGCCCGTACATGTCTATAAAATCGACGTAGGAAATTGAATTATAATTTTTATGGGGGACGGAGTTCCGGGTGAAAGAACAGAGAGTAGAGACGTTACAAGTGTATTACCGGCCTTTTGGGGAATAGGAATTTAAGGATTGTTGGGGCTTCAGGGATCGGGTACATTGGGAAGGCGGCGGCGTGGGGGGGGGGGGAGTGTTATTGGGCCTTCGGTTACCCCATTCTCATGACGAAACACAACGCAAGCGCTGTTTCACGTCGGTTTTTTGCGAGATCGTGATATCACTCCGGTCGAGCCGGCCCATCAGTGCCGAAGCGATCCCAATTTGGGTTTTTTTTTTGAGGGGGGAAAATCAGTCAATAACTACTCTCGTCCGGATGAGGCGAGAGGGAGTGTCAGACTGTTACTGACTAAAAACCACCCCGTTCCCCGCTCTACGCGGTAAGGTAAGTCCTACGCGGCTCACAGTATTTGGGCTCTTACCAGTTGTATAAACAATGTAATGGAGGTTTCCACCTTCTCTGGATATTAAAAACTGATAATGTGTGATGTTATGCTATGTTATTAAAAACCAGATAACTATTTGACATTTGCTACCATATGTAGCTAAGTACCTACCAAAGTAGGTACTCACAGAAATGGTAGACCAGCACAAATTTATGGTACAAAATATGTGTTATACCTAGTGCCAATGTACTTAGAATGGCTTATAAATCATTGTCTCGCACGTTGTCGTGTTGACCGAGATAGCCATAAGGTAAGTAGGTACCTATGTTATAATTAGGTAGAGATTAAGTCAGTGGGTAATTGTTTATTAGATTTACTCCAATTGTAATATCTGCCCTGCTTTTTTTCAAGGTTGGCAAAGCATCGATCTTGTTCAGTAGGTAACTAGTTTAGATAACTATTAGATGTAGGGGTTTGCATAGCATAATTTAGTGTATACCTGTCTAATTCGTGTTGTTAGCCGTGTGACGACAGGGTAGAATTCATTTGCCACTAGATAGTTACCGTACCTCTTCCCACAGACATCGAAAGATAAGGGACAACAATTTTGACAGCCACAAGATTTTCGCTCTATGATAAAACTTAATTTAAAAAAAAAATGAATTTTATATTATTTTATGTTTACCCTCGCTTCCTATTTTATTTACTTTTTTATAGTTGTTAAGTGTATGTGTGTTTCTGCGCAGAAATAAATGGTTTCCTTTCTTTCTTTTCAACCAGCTTTCCCAACACTCTTACTTAAAAGAGGTAAGGGGACAACAATAGTCTGGCATTGGGCTGCTATAAGCCATTGATTATGAATCTCTTATAACACAAATATGTAGATTTTTCGTTCGCAGTACTCGGTCTTCCAGTACTTCGAGCGCCTGTCATTTAACATTAGCTAACATTAGTCCAACTTATCTCTGCCACTCAATATTTTGCAGGCGCAAATCTATATGTAAGTAGATGGGGTTCCTTACTTTTGTTCTCTTGAGGGCATTTATTAATTTATATTTAAGTAGTTGGAAGTTAAGTAGTTGACTGCCTCGTTGGCCGAGTGGTCGCAAGTGCGACTGCCGGGCAAGGGGACTCGGGTTCAATTCCCGGGTCGGCCAAAGTATTACTGGGTTTTTAAAAAATCCTTAGTAGTAGCACGGAGTCTGGAAATGTGCTCGGTATATGGCAATAGACTCACCCTCTATTACATGGGACTCATAACATAAATAGTGTAAAGTGGGTGCTACTTCTGTGTGCACCTCTGCCTACCCCTTCGGGGATAAAAGGCGTGCTGTTATGTAGTTGGAATGATAACGACAAAAATGTTTCTCATTAAAATGTCATTAATTGAGCTTTTGTAGGTGGATTATCTATCTTGTATCATAACTAATTCTAGGTATTGTAATCAGGCTATATATTGCTGTGATGTCGAGGTTAACATCCATATTAAAGATCAGGATCTACTTATTAAATACGAGTAATATATGATAGTCAAGTAATCCATGTAATAACTACCTGTGGTGTAGTATTAGGCATCTAGGACAAATGGGCGGTTAATCAATTAAATGGTCATGCATTTATAAGTTTCTGTAATATCTACATAGGTGTATGTATTTAATAGGTACGTACCTAACTACATAAGTAGGTACTCATAAATTGCATTATGTGATCTATTTTCTAGGAACTTGCGAAACTTGGTCCGCCTTATTTACCATCACTTGTTTCTGGGTACATACATTGAAGTTTAAATAAAAAAAGTATCTATAATACAAAAAAATAAAAACGATTTAATTTTTAAAAATACCTAATTGCTTTTTGTCAGCGTTTTGTTTACACCCTATATTATTGTTTACCTTGTTTATTAAGTAAAAATGCGGGTTACTCACGTGAATATACTGAGAAAAGCTCTACTAGTTTCGAACCACAGAGGGGTTCTTCCTCATGAGCAGCATGCGCGGTCGCGGCGACGTCGCGCAGCTCACTGGGTGAGCTCAGTGAGTTGCGCGACGCTACTAGTTTTGAACCCCTCTGTGGTTCGAAACTAGTAGAGCTTTCCTCAGTATATTCACGCGAGTAACCCGCGTTTTTACTTAATTTAGTATGTCTCACGATAGTTATTATAAAAACACAGACCTTGTTTAGTTTAGACTGCCTCGTTGGCCGAGTGGTCGCAAGTGCGACTGTTGGGCAAGGAGTCTCTGGTTCGATTCCCAGGTCGGACAGATTTAACTTTGGTTTTTAATAAAAATTCTCAGATGTTGCACGGAGTCTTGAATTGTGCCCGGTATATGGCCATAGGTTCACTCTATTAGGTACATGGGACTCATAACATAAATTGTAGAAAGTAGGTGAAACCTACATTGTATAGTGGCATTAAGTGCCGTAATGTACACCTCTGCCTATCCTTTCGGGGATAAAAGGCGTGATGTCATGTTGTTGTTGTTGTTTAGACAGTTAAAATGACGTTAAAAGGCATATAGAGGTATAGGCAAAATGTTAATGTCTGCCACAATCATGACTAACAGAAGTAATAATCTAAGGTACCTTACCTATAACTTGAGAATACAGTAGGCCATGGATTTCCAGAAGTGTACACTATCATTTAAGTATACCTACTTACAAACAAAGCATTGCGTATTTTCTTTTCCACTAGATCTTTATACAATATCTATCTATATTGTTTCAACTTTGTTCGTTTGACACCATTGTTAGGCTTACGTAAATTGACTTGAGGTCGAATTATAAATATAAACTTATAATTTTCCCACGCGTTTCCAAAGGAAAGAAAACTTAGGTATCTTTAGAACATTCAATACATATAGTTGCCTAAATCGATATTTGTAATTTTCTTTATACTTAATATAATAACAATAAACGTTACTGTTGTATTTAAATGAAACAGTTTAAAACTGTTTAAGACTGCCTCGTTGGCAGCGTCGGGGGGCAAGGGGTGTTGGGTTCGATTTCTGGGGTCGGCAAAGTATTATGGGGTTTATAAAAAAAACGATATGCTTACCCCCTATTACATTGGACTCATAGTGAAAAGTGGATGTTACATTGTACAGTGGCATTAAGTGCCGTAATGTGCACCTCTGCATACCCCTTCGGAGATAAAAGACGTGATGTTATATTTAAAACTGGTTTCAGTAAATACAACGTCGACGTTTCTTAATTTATGGATACATTAGTCTTTGTATTTATGCACAAACATTTTTCTCAATCCTTCAACTAGTAGGTACTTAGGCCTATTATAAATAGGTAAAGTATGTATGTATTT